AACGGAAAAGGATCTGCGCATACTTGGCTGTGAGCTAATACAAACGGCGGGCATACTGCTGCGATTGCCCCAAGTGGCCATGGCAACTGGCCAAGTGCTTTTCCAGCGCTTCTTTTACTCGAAGAGCTTCGTGCGCCACAATATGGAAACGGTCGCCATGAGCTGTGTGTGCCTCGCCTCCAAAATTGAGGAGGCACCACGTCGCATACGCGACGTCATCAACGTCTTCCATCATATCAAGCAAGTGCGCGCACAAAAGTAAGCAAATCAATTAAAACAGTAAGAGCTGCCTACGGCGGACAACTTCTTTAGATGGGCAATTTTTTGTAAACCTAAATTATTTTCTTACTTCTGCAAAGAGCTTTCACTGTAGAAGAAACTGTCATTCCACATATACAACATATACATATATTTGCATGTTTGTTTTTTTTCGCAGGGAAATAGCGCCCATGGTGCTGGATCAGTACTATACGAATATGAAGACTCAGGTTATCAAAGCGGAGCGTCGTGTGCTCAAGGAACTTGGCTTCTGTGTGCATGTGAAGCATCCGCATAAGCTGATTGTCATGTATCTGCAGGTGCTGCAGTATGAGAAGCACGAGAAACTGATGCAAATGTCTTGGAACTTTATGAACGATTCGCTGCGCACGGATGTCTTCATGCGCTATACGCCGGAGGCGATTGCCTGTGCGTGCATTTATTTGAGCGCACGAAAGCTCAATATACCGCTGCCGCATAATCCGCCGTGGTTTGGTATATTTCGGGTTCCAATGGCCAATATCACGGATATTTGTTATCGCGTGATGGAGCTTTATACGCGCGCCAAGCCGGTTGTGGAGAAGCTCGAAGCAGCCGTCGAGGAGCTGAAGAAGCGTTATATCGATGCACGCAACAAGACCAAGGAGGCAAATACGCCGCCTGCTGTCATCACGGTGGATCGCAATAATGGCTCTCACAATGCCTGGGGTGGATTTATACAGCGTGCCATGCCGCTGCCCACAGAGAAGTCGCCGAAGAAGGACTCCCGTTCACATTCACGCTCCCGGACACGCACGCAATCACGTTCGCCACGCTCACGTACGCGCAGTCATTCGCCAAGTCGCGAGCGATCGAAAAAATCGCATCGTGATCGGGATCGTGATCGAGATAGGGACCGTGACCGCGACCGAGAACGTGATCGGGAACGTGATCGTGACAGGAGTCGCTCGTCCAGATCTCGGTCGCGGTCAGCGCCCAAACACAAAAAGAAATCGCGTCACTATTCGCGCTCGCCCACGCGCTCCAGTTCGCCGCACAGCAAGCATCGGAAGAGGTAAGTGCCGCGCATCCGGAGGGATGGCTGCAGCAACTTGTGCATATTAACCTATTACCCCATTCCACAGGAAATCGTCGAGAGAGCGCTCCGATTACTATGTGAAAAAGGAACGCTCCAACAATACGGGCAACAACAACATTAGCGATAGCGACAAGTACCGCAACTCCAGTTCCAATGCGGGCAAATCGCACAATCGCTACTCACATCGTGGCAGTGGTGGGGGTGGTGGTGGCGGAGGAGGAGGAGGAGGCGGCGGCGGTGGTGGTGCTGGTGGTCATAACAGCCGAGGTGGGCACAAGCATCGCGAGAGCGATCGTACTAGAGATCGCAAACGTTGATGCAAAAACTCTATACTAATTGTACCGGAAAATGCTTTTTGATTTTTTTCTCCATTTTTTTTTTGTATTTATTTTGATTGCAACTCACATTTGCGCTTTTAGTTGTAAATTCAAACTATAATTTTGAACGTCATTGTAAAAATAAAGTAAAATTGATAAACAATAAGTAAATGTGCACAATATATTGCGTGTTTAAACAGAGGCAGGTTCTGTCTGATATAACTGCAGTCGAACTATACTGAAGTGCCTACGAAATATTAATTTATCACTGTATTAGAAATCCAAATGGATTTTCAGCTATTCAAATGGGGGACAAAAGCATTGAATGACTTAGTAGTTCACCCGTACAAATAGATCACAGTAATGCGTATTACAAAAAAGAGACATGTTTACAAAAAAAAATTAATTTAAAAATCAATTCGAATTCCTTTTGGTTGCCAAGTGCTGTTTGAATTTCAATTTCAACTCTAGTGCAGATTTATTAAAACTTTTTTACTTTTAGCTGGACAGTCAAAACGCATGCAATGAATATATATATATGAATATATAATGGGTGACATGTGTATTGTGCAATACAATCGACCGGCATGTATGCTTCCATTATGAGCAATTTTGACTCATATTTAATTAACCCTACACTACATATTGGTACTTAGGCAATAGATTATAGATTTTGGCGGCCACAGCAGCAGCAGCAGCAGCAGCACGCATATCCTGGGTAGAGCATGCTGTTAGATTAACGGCGCAGCTCTGACTGGGACCCGCTCTTAGTTCTTCAAATAAGAGACTATATCGACATAGGAGTTCAATCACATCTACACTTCCATAGTGAACGAGAGCAGCGAGATTTGTGGATGCTGCAGCGACACATCCCGGAACTCGGGCGTAAAGCTTAGTATGAAAAAGCTAAATATGGTCGCTATAATCCATTCGGAAATTGTGCTTATCACATGATAATACCAGCCGCCATCCGAGGGATACCTGCAAAGGGAATGAAGTGTTATTGTCCTGCCCAAGCCATGATTTCAACGGCTTACCACTTCCGTGGGTCTTGTCCGTCAAACAGTATATGCGACATGACACCAGTCACTGCCAGCATTATAAACAGAATAGTGCAACAGACGGACATACCCAGGCGTATGTGCGCAGTCTTTTTCGTGCCAGCCATGGGATATATCGAGTATGTGATTAACGCCTGCATCCAAAAGTATAAAGTGCCGCAGCCGAAGCAGCAGAACGCTCCAATAAAGTGGACAATGCGCACATTGGTTTCCTGAAAGTTGCCTACAAAGCTAATGCCCAGGCAGGACAACATGCCGAACCAAAAGGCTATACTATTGTGGCGGAGCACAGTGGTGCCCAGATCCGGATTATGTTCGTGTAGTTGCAATACATGACGATAACGCACATAAATTGTGAGTCCCACTGGAAATGAAAACAAGATCAGTACAACAACAGACTGTGTGAGGCACTCAGCACATGACTCATGCTTCCCCGACTCGAGATACGAGTTGTGTTTGGGAATGCAGCGATAGCGAACTCACAAAGAACACTGCCAATGTTAATTAGTTGACCGAAAATACAGCTCTCCGGTGAGTAAGTGGCTGCATCGCTAATGTACGGCACTGTGGGCACCACATGACCCTCCAGGACAGCCACAATATAACTGTGAATTGGCAAAAAGGGTATAGAACAATAACAAACGGTACTTTTTTGGAAATTGAGAGGAAAATAACCACTTACGTGCCCAGAAATGTCACTTGAAAGATGAGAAAGACAGCAACCGGCAATAGATAAACATACGACATTATGCCAGCAGCTATGCAGCGAGAGAAACAAATACGGATATTTTATTGCTGCGCAAAACAGATTTCGTGCGTTGGGGGTTTTTTTTTCATGTGAATGCAACGGCAACTGCAGCACTGCCAACTTGACTCATAAAAAGACTGGCCAATGGTAGCACACGAATCCAATCGGCAAATTGGTGCTGCCCATCACTAATTGTAAGCAAAGTGGCATTTGAAATTGAAATCTTGATAAATATAACTAACATATATAGAAAAAAACATTTGAGAATTTTGCTGAAATCGGTAGGTACTCGTGTTCGTGTGTTAGTGTTAGTACAAATTGTTTTAATTTATGTGTACCCTTGCAGGCAACTGGGCATGAGTTGTTTTGTGGAAATCGACGGCTCCTACTTGGAAGGTGGCGGACAGGCTCTGCGCAATGCTTTAACTCTGAGCGTAATACTAAATCGTCCGGTGCGTGTGGTAAAGATACGTGCCAATCGTCCAAAGCCGGGACTATCCCATCAGCACTTGCATGGCGTTAATTTGCTGCGCGACATTTCGAATGCCGAGGTCAACGGAAATACGTTGCACTCCACAGAACTGACGTTTACGCCGCGCACGATCGCCGGCACCATGTACAAGGTGGACACACGGACCGCCGCCAGCATAACACTTATATATCAGATGGTCATGCCGGTGCTGCTTTTTAGTGGCACATCGTCACGCATTGATGTCACTGGTGGCACAAACGTATCGTTTGCCCCGCAAGTGGAATATATGCAGCAAGTGCTGCAGCCTAATCTGAAGCGTTTTGGCGTTAGTTTTGATCTCAAGGTGCTGCATCATGGTTTCTATCCACGCGGCAATGGCCGTTGTATGCTTGACCTGGAGCCGCTGCGCTCACTGAATGCCGTGCAATTAAATGACTTCGGGCAGTTCCGATCAGTCAAAGGTGCCGCCTACTATGCCGGCCGGTTGCCAAAGTGCATTGCCTTTGATATGCAGCATTCGGCGGAGCGTGAAATACATCGCCTGTGGCCGGATCACGAGTGCAATATACAGGTGTTCAAGCACCCACCGGACAGGGCGCGCGATAACGGTGCCGGCATCATACTGACCGCGCTAACCAACACCGGCTGCGTAGTGGGTGCGGCCACTGTGGGCGAAAAGAACATCGATGGGCATTTGATTGGCTCGAATGCCTCATGTGAACTGGCCGGCTACATTAAGAACGAAATCTGTGTGGACACCCACATGCAGGATCAGCTAATCATCTATATGGCCCTGGCCAGCGGTTGCTCGCGCATCCGTGCCGGCGCACTGACCAAGCACACACGAACAGCCATTTATGTGGCTGAGCAAATGGCTGGCGTTAAGTTCATCATTGAGTACGGCAATTTTGGGCAAACGCTTATCAGCTGTGAGGGCATTGGACAACGGAATGCATATATGTAAGGGCGGACGGTATACTCACACACACACACTGACACACACACACTCACACTCCCACGCACACACAAATAGCGAGAGTGTACAATAATAAACGTCAAGTCTGTAACACACTTAAATTATTTATGTTAAAAAATATATATAAATATATATTTGTCAAATAAATATGTATAACTGCGCCTAGATGCGGCGGAATATAGCCAAGAAATGATCACCCTTATTGCGCACCACCTTGGCGCCCTCCTCACTGCTCTGGTATAGCTTGGGTGTAATAGGATCGGCATTCTGCAAAGATATAGATATACAGTTTAGATTTAGATCTATATGGATAGATAGTGAGTATAGTATTTTAAGTGAATTTTATATTTCAAGGGGAAGAAATCGCAAATGCACTGATTTGATTTCATGCATGTTTCTTATTGGAATGTTAATTTTTGTAAGTCGATTCGTTTCCGGTTCCCAATCAGATTCTATGTTCGGTTGCCAAAAGTTTAATACTCTTCATTCTTTACGTCTACAAATATTAACTTTTACTTGTTTCAAATATATATGTATACTACTTTGAACCTCAATTTTCACTCAATGGAGCTAAAATATATCGCATAGATCTTCGTAAATGTGGTTGAAGCGGTCTTATCTATATACTTACAGCTTCCTCGTCCCTGAGTCGTTCATACAATGGATGCTGTGTCATGTGTGAGACGATCCACTTGTGAAGATCCTCCACATCCGTCATCGTATAAACCAGCCCCTGCGGCAGAAGACGGATATTATTAAATTATTGTGAATTAACGTTTCCGATTAAGTTCTTACCCCGCTCCGCAGAACGTATGCGTATTCGGAGAGCAGTGCCTGGTTGATGATGCGCCACTTATGTTTGGCGCGCTTGAAATGCGGATCGGGATACAAAAAGAACATCTTCTCGAGTTGGCCCTTTTGGAAATAGTTTGGCAAATATTTCATCGCATTAGTGCGTATGCAGGCAATGTTCTGGTATGCGGTTGTTTCGGCATTTTTCATCCTTAGCGCCGCAATGCGATCGATTACATAGTCGGACACTTTGACTCGTATCTCCATGCCAATGGCCAACTTATCGGGATACATTTCACCCAGGGTGACTAGAAAGCCGCCGTAACCGCAGCCTATGTCAGCAAATTCGACTTGCTGCTCGTCGCCAATGTTAGGGTACAGTGAGCGCCAGTTCACATCCTCTGGGCGGGCGGGACTGTATTATAGTTAAACTTAGTAAAGCTAGTTTTATGAAGGCTCAAAAACTTACTAATCAAAACTGTGATCCGCTATGGGATTTGAGTGCGCCCGTTGGCGATAGAAGCGCTTCTGTGGTAGCCCAGTTACCGACGATGTTGCGGGCAGCGTCTCGCCATCCTGGCTGTTGGTCACCATTTAGATAATTAATTCTAAGCCTAATTAAATTTGTATCAACAATTGGTTTAACATGCAAAAGTGCATGCGGCACATGAGTTATTATCGATGCTATCAATAGTATCGATAGCTTGTAATCTGTTTTTGACAAACAAGTTGGCAGTCCCAAAATGCGAGCTGCCATTGTGACCTTATCGATTGTTTTGCAGCACTAGTTGCCATCCCTAGCGCATTGTGTATGCATTACGCATTTGCGAAATTCACCAGCAATACGTTTTAAGCCAATTTAAACCCAATTGCTGTAGCGGCGCCTGTGCTGAAACCCTTACCAATTGCAGCTGGCAAACCCGCCACACCTCAGCTAACGTGGCCATGTACGCCACCAATAATGGCAGCACAAATAAGGCGCCAAATAGGTAAGTCTCTCTCGCAGAGCTCGAATCGGTGTACAGTGTGTACAATTTTCTGTGTGTTTTGTGTTTGTGTTGTTTTATTTTTTTAGCAATGCCACATCGATGTTTGACAATACCATTACTGTAACGCCGATCAAAATGGAGCTAAGTGACGCTCTGGCCAAGTCAGGTTCCACAGCCACAACGCCGGCCCTGCGGCGTCCAAACGCCGTCATTGTCACGTCACAGCAGCTGACAGTACCCATGCAAACGGGCTTGTCCGTAACGAACAGCGGCGGCGGGAATGCGGCATATACGACGGGCATGAGCGTGACATCCACCACAGTGACAACGACGGCGCCAAAGGAGAAACCGACGAAAGCGGCGCGCGTTCAAGTGGTACGCAAGCCGCCGCCAACGATTGAAAACTTTTGGCCGAACATATTGAGCGAGGTGAATGGCATTGGTCAGGTGGATGCCAAGCATCAGGTGCTGCCGCTGGCGCGCATCAAGAAGATCATGAAACTGGACGAGAATGCCAAAATGATAGCGGGCGAAGCGCCGTTGCTGTTTGCCAAGGCCTGTGAGTATTTCATCCAAGAGCTAACAATGCGCGCCTGGGTGCACACCGAGGAGAGTCGTCGCCGTACACTGCAGCGGTCGGATATTGCGCAGGCGATTGCCAATTATGATCAATTTGATTTCCTAATCGATATAGTGCCGCGTGAGGAGATCAAACCCTCAACTACGCAGAAAACCAAAGAGCCAACCAGCTCGAATGTATCGGCGGCGGCTGCTTCCGCCGCAACTGCAACTGCTGTTACCAGCAATAATAATCCCAACGCTAGCTTTACAACCGGCAATGTTGTGAGTGGCGCCAATGTACCTGTGGCTACTGCTGCTGCCGCGTCTGGCCTCAAGCTGGACGCCACTGCGGCCGAAGTGCTCGGCTTCAGCACAGTCAATCCAGATCTGTTTGCGGCGGCAGCCGCCAGCAGCAATCAGCAGCTGCAGCAGCTGACAACGCAACAGCATCAGCCACAGCAAGTGCAGATCATACAGCAGGGCGCCGGTACACAGCAGCTGCAATACTTCATAGCGCTGCCTGGGCAGCAGCCCACGCAATTGGTGCAGCAGCTCCATCAACAGCAGCAACAACAACAGCAGCAGAACAGTCTCGGCCTAAATATTGTTGCACAGCAGCCGACGCAGCAGCTAATACTCACCGCCGGACCCAATGGTCAGTTGACAGCGACGCCGGCGCCCACAACAGCTGCTCAGCAGCAAACGGCGCTGCTCCAGAACCTGGCCCAACACCAACAACAGCAGCAGCAACAACAGCAGCATCAGCAAATACAACTGCTGCAGCAGGTGGTGACGCCAACGGGCGAGTTGACCAATGTGCCGGTGAGTGGGTTATGAGTTTGCAATTTTATGCTCGTTGCTAAATGTTTTATTTATAAAATCAACAGATTGCCATCAGTGCCAATCAGCTGCACTTGCTGCGTCTGCAGATGCAACAACAGCAACAGCAGCAGCAACAACAGCAGGTTGCTGCTGTGCAGGCAGCAGCGGCGGCGGCAGCGCAGCACAATCAACAGCAGCAGGTGATAATACCAACACAATTGCTAACAGCACAGCAGATACTGCAGCTGGGTGGCACGCCCACAAATGCAACAACTGTGACACAGCAGCAGCTGCAGCAGCATCAACAGCATCAACAGCAGCAACAGCATCAACAGCAGCAACAGCAGCAACAGCAGCAGCAGCAACAACAACAACAACAACAACAACAACAACAACAGCAGCAGCAGCAGCAACAACAACAACAGCAGCAACACCATCAACAGCAACAGCAGCATATACACATAAGCAGCAACAATCCAAACAACAGCTGTAACAACAACAATAACAACAGCAGCAGCAACAATAATAACAACAATGCAGCGTCTATATTCATAAATGCGACGGCGTCGAACGCCCAAGTAGCGACGCAAGCGCAAACACAGGGCATAACAACATTAACCACAGATCGTACGCTGAACAGCGGTTTTCGGTAAAACCCAATATAAAGCGAACATTAGCTTAAGTGAAAAGCAAAAGCCCAAAACAAAATACACCCAACATTGGACAGCACACGACACCAGCAACCACCTAATTGTTAAGGATAAGTTAAAATTTAAGCTAAGTTTAACATGTTTAGCATTGAATTCAAGTCCAAACATTTTGGGCCAATTAGCAATCATATCGAAGCATCAGGAGGCAATTGGTAATAGCATTTGGCGTTGGCATATTGATTGCGCCCGTGTCCTGCCATTCAGTTTCGTACTAATGTATACATGTGTATATTAGATGCAGCGGAGAGAGTTTAATTAGCTAGCTCCTAAGTACCAATTAATTTAGCAATTGTATAAATAGAAGATACATTTTTATTATGTAATGTATTTAGTGTTCAGCAGCAAGGTGAAACCCAATCCAGCCCAAGCAGGCGGCCTAGCAGGGAATCTCTTTATATAATTCGAATGTGTCCTGCCTAATGTACATATCATAACGAATTGAACTATATTGGTTTGCCCAACGACTCGCACACGAAAGCATCTAGCTACAATTTCAAGTTGCCAACTAAATTCTTAAGTTTCACACCCTTTCTATAGCTGTCTGTGTGTGTGTGTGTGTGTGTGTATGTATGTATATACCTAAAAAAAAAAAACAGTTCTAAACATTTAAATGGCATCGGCTCAATTAGCATTTCCTGGCTTTGCACCTGAGCTGCAGGTTTCACATTCTATTTTAACAATACGTAACAAGAGAAAATCCCCCCAAAAGAAAACATTTTATAAATATATATCTATATATTATATATATATATATATTGTACTTGTATAGTTAAATATTAGTATTTTGCAACATAACTCAATTCAATGTGGGTTATCTAGGCGTTAGCCAACCAAGCTCATCTCCCTGTCTTTAAACAAAAAGTACAGCTCTCTGATTTTCTCGATTAGAGGAATATTCGTCTTCTTTCTGTTTGTAATTAAGTTAAGCAATTCAAAGAAATACAAAAAAAAAAAACAAAAAAACAAAAAACAAAACAAACAAAAAATCAAAAAAATGTATAATCAAATGAATATTGCTCATTTCTTGTTGGCCAAAATCTTGTTAATGTCCTGCAGCTCGCGCGTGCTCCACGGCTCCAGCGGATCGGGCGGCGATTGCGGTTTCCGCCCATGTGCCGAACGTCTGCGCGACGCCTGCTGGCTGCGTTTGCTTTCCAGTTCCGCGTCGCTCTCCTCCGGCGAGACTCTGCAAAGTGTGGGCCACGAAATACCCAGGTATAACATGGTATATCAAATATTTACAAAGCTTTAGCTATGATCAACAAATTATATTCATTACAAGAAGAATGTTGCCAGCTTTAGATGCCAAAGTCATTGAATTGAAATGTGTGTATGTAATTATGTATGTATGTATGTGTGTGTGTGTGTGTGTGTGTGTGTATGTGTGTGCGTGTGTGTATGTATGTATGTGCGTATATATGTATGTATATATGCATGTAAATTGTCTTGTACACCAAATTTAAATAAGATAACGTATTTATTATAGCTGCCCTCCTCCTCGATTCTCAAAAATGTAAGTAAGGCTTGCAGACTTCACCTATGAATTAGTCGCAGGCGGCATCAACGCTGGAAGCTGAGGAGCAGGAGTAGCATGTCGGAGGAGGAGCACCAAGGGGGCGGATCAGGAGGCGTATGTTTGTAGGTATGTAGGTATGTAGGTATGTAGGTATGTAGGTATGTAGGTATGTAGGTATGTAGGTATGTAGGTATGTAGGTATGTAGGTATGTAGGTATGTAGGTATGTAGGTATGTAGGTATGTATGTATGTATGTATGTATGTATGTATGTATGTATGTATGTATGTATGTATGTATGTATGTATGTATGTATGTATGTATGTATGTATGTATGTATGTATGTATGTATGTATGTATGTATGTATGTATGTATGTATGTATGTATGTATGTATGTATGTATGTATGTATGTATGTATGTATGTAGGTATGTATGTATGTATGTATGTAGGTATGTATGTAGGTATGTAGGTAGGTATGCATGTATGTAGGTATGTATAAATGTGTGCGTATGTATGTGGGTATGTATATATGGATGTATGTGTGCGTATGTATGTGGGTATGTATATATGAATGTATGTGTGTATATATGTGTATGAATGGATATATATATATGTGTGTGTATGTATGTATTTTCACATGAATTTTGACCAAGAATAATGTTGCCAGGCCTTGCCCGTGGTACAATTAAAATAATTCTCTCAAATATCTTTGAAAATGAGTTTGTGGCCGATCGGATGTTAAACAAAAAACTAGCATACAAACGTTTTTTCGATTTTCCACACATACGGGTGGAATTCCCCGAAACCCCGGGCTGTCAGTCAATAAGTCAGTCAGTCAGTCAGTTAGTCAGGACAAACAGTTATATACATATACATATAAAGATAACTAAATTTCATTTTTTAAATTGAAATATTTAAAAGTATTTTTAAATAGAAAAACAGACAACCTATTCTTGTTAGCATAGGAATTTTAGTCTCAAGCCTGGAGCCGTAGTTCTAGAGAAACCCAATGTGTAATATATAGCCTACAACTTGAATCTTTTAATAAGTAATCAAATTGTTTTTCCCATGAAAAGTTTTCCATAGGAAAACAAAAAACCCCATTTCTCAGTGTTGGTAAGGTGTTTAAAATTTCGATTTTAACGGGAACTTTGGCAGGATTAAAAATCAAGGAATATGCATTAATTAATTGCCTAAGATTGCTTTACTTGCATATGATCCGCCGGAATCCCCGAATCCCCCAATCTCCCGGAATCCCCGAATGCGGAACTCACTTGTTTCTGCGTCGAATCCGGGCGCTTTTGGCGCGATGCGCTGCCTCATCCTGGGCTGGCTGGCATTTGCGTAGATGGAACTGCTTCATTGTGGCATGCACCTGGTCGGCTGTTGGCAAATCATCGCTATCGGCGCCGCCATTGCCATCCTCGGTCTCAACATCCGCTTCCTGTTCAATGGTCAGCACCTCCTCGGCGACCGTCTCTTCGAAATTGAAGCCCTGGAATGGCACGATTTGAGCAGCTTGTGCCTGGGATGCATAACCTACCGTCACCGTGTCCAGATCCGGCAATTGCTGGCCCCAGACCGATGACATATGGGGCTGTTGGGCATCGTAGTTGGGCGACCGTTTGATGTCCGCCTTGGAGAGTGCGTTGTGTGTGCGCTTGGCCAGCGATAGTTTGCCCAGGATGGGGCCACCGCTGTCGCTCTCCTCCGTCTCGACCTCGGCGAGCATGTTCATGAACTCCTCCAGCTTCTTGGGGTCCACGATTTCCTTGGGATCTTGAAACAAATTGGTCAGATTGCTGGCCATGGGCACTGGCAAAGCGGGTGTCGCTGCCTTTGCCGGCTGAGCTGAGCCAGCTCCAGCTCCAGCTGCAGGTGCAGGTGCAGGTGCAGGTGCTGGCGATATAGTTGCTCCAACTGCCGACACAGACATCTTTTTGGCCAGCTGCGGCTGCGTCTTAAGCGTCTGCTCGACAAGATCGAACGCCCTGTTCGCCAGCTGCTGCAGTCCGGCAAAGTAGTGCGGATCATGCGTGTCCGGTCGTTGATCGGACATCAGGATCAGCTCACGAAACGGATCCGGCATCGCTGCAGCCACAACGGTTGCTGTTGATGTTGTTGTTGTTGTTGAGCGCAGGGGCACACCATTGCTGGCGGCCGGATTGCTGGCAAAGGTGAGCATATCCATGGCATTGGTGAAGTCGGATTCGGTGTGCAGATTGTATGGGTCCTTGAGCTTCTGTTTGGTCACCTTGACGGGGCTCGATATGGAGGCGCGTCCCCACATCAGGCGACGCATCTCCTCCCCAGTCATGCCGCGCTTCTTAAGTGCCGTCAACGTGACCCGTCCCACCCGCTGCAGCCGGAACAAAACACAACACGTGAGATTGCATTAAATGCTGGACAGGATCTGGCCGGGACCATGAGCTCACCTTCCAGTTGGAGACGGCGCCCTTGCGCTGCTTGGCACGCGTCTTGCTCTTGCTCTTGATGACCATTACGCCGCGCACCTCGAAGCCCGTATCATCGGCGGGGCCCAGCGGTATGGAGTATGCCTCCAGATAGCCCTTGGCATCTGCCTGCGGCACGGCACGCTCCAATGTCACAACAATTTTGGCCCATTGCTTCATCCACTCCTTCTCCGACTGCTCGATGACGGTCACATAGGTATTACCCATCATGGCAATTAACATGTTCAGCAGCAAAATCGGCACGAATATCATGAATATGACAAATACGGTTTTCGATAGATTCGGATACGTCGTCTGGTTCAGATCGGGATACTGTTTCGAATATTAAGATTTGCTTTTTACTCAGAAGATGATAACGAAAGATGTCAAGAAATATCTCCCATTAGTTTAATATTTAGTTCTTTTTTGAGGTTAAGTTGGGTACAGTCCCGAAGAGTTGTTGATGTTTGAGGTTAGTTTAGGCAAAGTTTCAAAAAGTAAGGTTAGATTCGGATACGTCGTCTGGTTCAGATCGGGATACTGTTTCGAATATTAAGATGTCAAGAAATATCTCCAATTAGTGTCTTTAACATTTAGTTCTTTTTTGAGTTTAGGCTGGGTACAGTCCCGAAGAGTGGTTGATGTTTGAGGTTAGTTTAGGCAAAGTTTCAAAAAGTAAGGTTAGATTCGGATACGTCGTCTGGTTCAGATCGGGATACTGTTTCGAATATTAAGATTTGCTTTTTACTCAGAAGATGATAACGAAATATGTCAAGAAATATCTCCAATTAGTGTAACATTTAGTTCATTTTTGAGTTTAGGCTGGGTACAGTCCCGTTGTTTTTAAAAAGTAAGGTTATATTTTTAGGTATTTCAGGTCAGGTTAGTCCGAGTTCTCAATAGTTTTTTTTTGTTTTTGTCTGCCACTAAGACTAAGTCAAGTTCAAAAAGTTATGTTCTTATATTCTGCTTTGAGGTTAGTTGAGTTCAAGTTTGAGGTTAGGCCCGATGCCAAGTAATACTCACATTGTAGTCGCCGAGTGTGGTCTGGAAGAGGGCCATCCAGGTGCTGGTATAGGTATTAAACATGGTCGTCTGCACCTGCGGATGACCCTTGTAGAGGAAATAAAATGCCTGCGAGAAGCCGCACAGCACAATCGAGTAAATGATGCCAAAGGTGAACATGTCGCCGGTTATCATCGAATAGATCATGGTAACAAATGGACCAGTCAGACGTATGGCACTGCAAATGGGAGGAACATAAATGGACAGCGTTGGGTTTGGCTGATGGGGATTTCTACCCGGCAAAGAACATGAGCAGAAACCAGCTGCCGGGCACAGCGAAGATCAGGATGGCCTCCTCGGTGTCCGTATCGCCAATCAGACGGAATGGTATGCACGCCAGGATGAGTAGATTGGAGAACAGAAAGATTGCCTTGGCCGGCGCATGTGACTATCAAATCAATATACACAAACAATGGAAATATTTGAACATGTTCATGTGGGGGAGGGGGGACCTACCAGCTGCTTGAGGAATGCGGATAAGCCCTGGTTCTTGATCTCGTCACCCTGCTGAAAGATCACATAGCTCAGGACGCCCGCTATGGTCGCCAGCTCGGCGCAGTAGCGCGCCACAGTTTGCGCATTGTAATCCTCGCCCTGCCCATTCCCATTCCCATTCGCATCCAGTTCGGTGAGATGTGCCGCTGACGCGGACGCATCGCCATTGTCGCCATCTGCCGGTTCGTTGCCATCGTGTGCGGGTCGCAAATAAACGGATACGGAGAGGCACAGCAAGTGCGTGGACAATATGAGCAGACGCTTCAGGAACTGATTCTGTGCAAAGGTCTTCCATTTCTCCTCGAGCAGGCGCTGTATAATGCCGCCATCCAACATGTCCAGATGCTCCGGCTTGGTGCCGTTTAAAATTATGAACAGCGCCGAGTTCCAATCTGCAATCAAATGCATAAGAAGAATTTCCAAAAATGTGTTCTGTCTTGGAGCCCAGCCGGATCGGACGACTCTATCACATAGGAATATGATCGGGTAAGACTTAAGCTCAAAATATCTTGCCTTCCTATTCCTCGGACATATGTTCAAGATTTGAACAAATACGAGAATACGATATCATATAGCTCAACCGGAGGAATCGGAGTACTAAATAATGAGGCAGCTAGAGGAGTAATCTCTAGGCCACATGGTTGGGTACTCACTGGTGCGTCCGTCGGGCAGCAGCGTGTCCAGGGCGTTGAGCGGATAGCCGGAGCAGGTGATGTTGCTGTAGCGCCAGAACTCGCGGGCGGACAGCTCCAACATTTCGCGGAAGACCTCGGCACGGCCCAGCTTGCAGGCGAGGGTGAGCGGAGTGAGACCCGTCTGGTTGACAATGCCATTCTTGGCCGGCGTCTTCGGATGCCGCAGCGCATAGCCGAACATGTCCAGCTTGTCGCAAACGACCACCATGTGGAGTATCATGTTGCCAAAGGAGTCCTGGGCATCCGGATCGGCGCCGCAGTCGACGAGCAGATTGTAGACGCTCTCGTTGGCACAGCAGGCGGCCCAGGCCAGCGGATATTCGCCCATGTAGGCGAGGCCCTCGTAATCTGTGCTCTTGGCCGGATTCGAGCGCTGCTGATCGCGTGGCAAGAAGAAGCTGCCGATCGCGCGCTGATTGATATCGGCGCCCGCTTCGATCAGATCGGCGACCAGCTCGTTGTTGCTGTACGCAATGGACAGATGGAGTGCACTGGCGCCGAGATACTCCTCGCCCTCCATCACGTCCAGCGCCAGATTGGGATAGACGCGCAGCAGGACGCGCGCCAGCTTTGTGTGTATCTTCGAGTCACAGATGATCAACACATGGAGCAGACTCTCGCCGAGTGCGCCGCGGTATTGCATCTGCCAGCAGGCCTTGTGATCCTCCCACTTGCCAAGCGGATCGTGTATGGATAGCGAAGCCTCAATCGGTATGGTCACCTCGGTATGATCGCGATATTTCCAGCGCAGGAACTCGGCCCGATTGATCATCTGGCCCTTGCCATCGTTATACATGAACACGCCGAACTGCTCCCGGATCAGCTGCTCGACGGCAATCAGTCCGCCCGTATTGATAGCATCGATCAGATCGCCACCTGAAATGGGCCACATCCATGGGCTAGCTGCGATTCTGTCAAGGATTGGCTGCGTCATTGACCTTACCGCGCTTGTAGTCGGCCAGCTTGTAGAGCAGACATCTGCACGCCGTTGCCGAGGACTGCGAGATGACCGCGTCCAGTATGGCGCCTGGCTTCATTTCGGGCGCCTTCTTGCGCAGACATTTCTTCAGCAGAAACTTCATCCTGCCAGCAAGTCCACTGGCTTTGTCGTCCGTCCACGTACCTTCTGCCAGAACACAGTGCAAGTTTGTTTGTTCGATGGCGATTCCAATCAATCTCAGTGGCTCCGTTGTCCGGGTAACCCCAAAAGCCCCCGACAGCCCCCAACTCTGAATACGACTTGTGACAGAAGTCTAATAGGGAGTAGCCGACTAGCAAATACCCTCAGCTCTCCACAGGACACAATTTCTCTTCCCTCGCTTGATTTATCTTCGGTGCTTATAGTCCGATCTTTATGATATATTCAGGGCTTATAAGTGGTATGGTCTTTATATACCAAGGCGCTTCGTGGAATGGGGGTAGGTATCCAAAAAGTGAAATATTCCTAATCTGTATATACTATGCGAGAGCCTATATACCAAGTTTGGTCTCTCTAGCTCTTCTAATCTTCGAGTTGTGCCTAAAAATCCATGCCTCAAAATCGATATTTATCGGTATTATGAAAATTGGATAGCATATCGTACTCAATTATTTACTCGTTTCCAGTTATGATTATCCATAACCGATATTTTGAAACTTAGATAACATATCGAAAAAGATGATCAACTCGTATTAAGCTATGCTTAAATCGATATTTATCGATATTATGAATATTGAATAACATATCGTACTCTATTATTAACTCGCTTGGATAACATATCGAAAAAATGATCAGCCCGTAACAAATCGATATTTATCGATATTAATAACATATCGTACACAATTATTAACTCGTTTCTAGTTATGATTATCGATATCGATATCGATATTATGAAAATTAGATAACATATCGAGCCATGCCTCAAAATCGATATTTATCGATATTATGAAACAGATTGGATATATCGAATATAGATGCTTCCTTCTGCCTGTTACATACATACGTTTGCAGCAAACGATGATACCCTTTTAACAAGTTTTCTATTGTGTGCAGGTTATAAATCAGTCAATTTAGGCCATATACCCTGGATATTTAATGGCTGGTAAATAGTAAATACGGTCGATTATGTATTGCATTTTCTGTTTTTTATTTAATTATGTATATAAATATATTTGTTTTTGTTTTTGTTGTCACTTAGGGCTAGAGTATTGATATCGGATATACTGTAAAATAAATTGTATAATGTATGTGTGTATGCCTTGTTTCATTTTATTTATTTTGTTTTGTTTTGTTTCTTAGCTTTCTTCTCTTCGCTTTCCTTTTCACTCTGCTCATCATTTCTTTGCCTGCGGCTTGCCTTCTAAACGTACTTTTAAATTATTTGCAATGTAATTTGTGAAGAACGCGTTTACAAAATCTTTATTTTATTTATTTTTGCTTTTATTACATATACATTTATGTATACATATACATGCTTTGTATATATATATAAATATAAATAAGATTCAGAAAGAAATACATATATATATATATGCATGTATATTTGTAAATATGTTGTGTGTTCTATGTACCATATCTATCATATATATATATATATATATGCATTCTTTATCAGCAAATATCTTTGTAAAATACAAAATATATATATATCATAATATCGAGACCGAATATAATTATTTTTGTTGTATTGATAAACAAGACAAAAAAAACAACACCACAAATTACAAAATCAATTTGCCCCACTGTGCACAGTGGGCTGCATCAACAATATAAATGGCATTCAAAAAATGGTTCAAAAATTTGTATATATTTACCCTACCAACCAACTCAAGTCGAATGTTTAATTAATTGTAAATTTCAATCAAAAATTGTTCTCAATACTTTTCCGTTTTCGGGTTTCTTGTCAGATCTTGTCAGAATATGCTATAATTTGGGTAGGCTTTCTCTTTTGTGTATGTATATGTTATATGTGTGTGTATATATATATATATATATATATATATATAAGTACTAGATATGAACAGTATGAAAATATGTATGAAATGGAAAAGCCGCGAATGTTGAAAGTGTTGAATAGTTAATAAATCTGTTTCATGCATAATTCTTGTGACTAAATGCAACGTTAATTAATTTGAATATTGTTGTTGTTGTTGTTGTTGTTGCTGTGTTGTGACTTATGTTGTATATATATGCTATATGAATAGAGTATACATATATAGCTCTAGGCGTATAAGTTTGGGCTTGGTCATTAAATTGTTGTTAATCAGTCGCAAATTGTATTTCATTTCTGCTGTTGTTGGCATTGTTGCTGCTATTGTATACAAAATATATACTTTAATTATATGGTACTATATAGTAAGATGCCAATACAATCTATATGTATATATGTGTGTATATATATGTATATAAATATATGCATATAGTCTTAATGGAGCACTTATAGCTCGACTTTCTATTGTTTTTTTGCAAATACACAACAAATGTTCTTTAATGGCAACGATGCGCTTTATCGCAAGTCTTTTCGTTAAACACTTTTGGAATTGTTTTCAGTTTTGTTTCTTTTTTTCTCATTCTTTTATCAATACACTTTTCTTTTGTAAGATTTTGATTTGATTCTGGCGTTACATATTTGATTTGATTTATTTTAGTGTCATTTTACGCTTAGCTTTACGGTTTAGTTTTAGTTAAGTTATGTTAACAAAATACTCGCTTGATTGGCTTACGCATAAAACGTTTTAGTGTCCAGTACAGTCTATAAGTTCTGTTGTTGTTGTTGTTGTTGTAACTGTTGAATACGGTTTGGGTTATATTTCTATATATGTCAATGCGCACGATTTTTTTTTGTTATCGCAAAAGGGAAGCAACGAATTTTTAGTAGCGAATGCGAATGCGTTTTTCTAAAGACAAAGACTAGAAAAGTTTAAACCATAATCGAAAGCGTATGACAAAAAGCGAATTTTTACAAAAAAAAAAAAAAACAAGAAAATGTCTTTTATATATATGCTATAAAATACATAATGTAGAGAGTTTGCAAGTCTGTGTGTGTGTGTGTGTGTGTGTGTGTGTGTGTGATAGGCCCGGCTGAGCTGCTCCCCAAGGCGAGAGAGTTATATCGCGTCGCAATTAACTAACAAAAATATATGTTTATAGAGAGCACACATGATATAGACTGAGAGTTGAAAAAATACATTGTAAAGCTCTAAAAAATATACATGTACACGGCATTTGTGTACTATACATATAAATCAATCCTGTTACTAACTTTCGGTCCATCGTCTTCTTTATCAACATTATCAACAGCATATATGGCCACAAACTTATGCGAAAATCATATAATGTGTAAAAATTATATATATAAAATGTTTATGTAAAATACGCTTAACTAATTTGGACTAACTACTTAAACAAACACAAAAAAAGATATACTTTTATATATATGTATATATATATATTTATATATATATGCATGTATATATATATAAAGAAAACAAACACAAAGATAAATACGATACAAATACAAAAAACGAGCAAAATTAAACGAATCTGCCTTAACATTTGTAATTTGGCAATTATTGAGCAACTGCAGTTGGGTATATATATTCGGGTACAGGGTAACTGCGGGTATATTGGCACACAACCAGTTAGCAGTGCATACAATAAGTGTGTATCTATCTCTCTCTCTCTCTCTATCTATCCCCCTTACTCTCACTCTCTCTCTCTCTCTCTTTCTCTATTTGTCTCTCTCTAATTTCTAGCAGCACCGAGCAGTTAACACCGCGTTTGCTATTTACATGGCGTTGGCCCAAGTTTTAAAGGCAGCCTGCGTGCGCGCGGGGATTTCATGTTTGGCGTAAAAGGGGGAAAAGGAGCAAAGCTCACGAATATCCTAACCGTCGTCCTTGCCGGGTCGTGTGTTTGTCAGTGTTTGTCTGTATGTGTGTGTGTGTTATTGTATAATATTTATGCATCGATTATGCATATACGAGTTGAACTTATCTATGAGTGTATATTTAATAATATAGCTTATGTGTATGCGATGATGGTTGGCGCTACTCCTGCCATTCGTTCTCATCGACGCCCTCCATTTCATCCTGCTCCAACTTGGTTGTGTACTCCATGCGCGCGCTAACCGATTTTTGGATCTGCAAGCCAAACCGAAAAGTGAGTAAGAGACAGAGATTGGAAAACGTGAGACTCACCTCCTGCTGCTTGTTGCTTTCATATTCGGACTTGCTGCCAAAATTCGAGTGATCCGGCTTTTTAGCTAGCGCCGGAACTTGTTGTATGGAGGATACTAAAAATAATCAATTCAAAAAGAGAATGAGGCAACTGACAAAAAGAGAGAGAGAGAGAGAGAGAGCGAGAAAGAGAAGGCAGTTTCTTACGCGTGTCCATGCCCTCCGGCTTAAGGCTAACTTTGGCAGCGATCTTGTCGTTGCACGCAAACCAATCCTCAGCAGACAGCGTGGCGCTCCATGTAATGCGCGTGGGTGGGAACAAGTCATCCTGGAACAGTTCGCTCTGCAAATAAACAATGGAATATAGACATCGATTTCCAACTGTTTGTGTGCCTCAAAAGAAAGCTAGTTTCTAAGTTAGGTACCTTAATGCGCGGCACTGTAAAGCTGAGCGGTTCGATGGTTGTGTTTGTCAGCCTGTATGCCTTGGAGAACTCGACGCTGGCCACATCACAGTGGTTCTTGGTGAGAAAACTGAGGCCCTGATGCAGCGAGGAGCAGCGATGATGCGACAGCGGGCATATATATGGCTCCTCATCGGTTATCTCATAGCAATAGATGGTGGAATCGCCCTTGCCGGTGACAAACAGTGTGGAGCTATCCTCATCATAATATGGTATTAGTATCGATGGCGACACATCCAAGCTGGCCGTATTCAACGGCGCAGTCAATTTTTGTGCATTGTACACGCTAATCTGACGTTCCGAGACTCTGCAATGGTTCAATGTGTGTGTGTGTGTCAGTTAAATATATGTATATGTAGGATAGGGTATAATGTGAACGTACTTATCGAATCCGGTGCAGACAATGTAGTGACCCTCAAGCGCCCAGGTGATGCGTGCACCGCGCGTGCCCACGGGTCCGTTGCCCTCGCGTATGGGCGTCTCGGATTTGCGTGGATTGTAGACGCGTATTTTGCCATCTTTGCAAACGCTGGCGCCCAGCTTGCCACAGGGACTCCAGGCAAAATCGAATATCTGATCCGTGTGGCCGGTTAGTGCGCACTTTTCGGTCATGGTGCGCAAATCCCACAGCTTGATGGTCATATCATAGCTGGCTGTTAGCAGCACATCGGCGGCCAGCGGGTGAAAGCGTATAAAATAGATCTTGTCCAGATGTGCGGTCAATTCGCCTTGCGGCGTATTTGTTGGCTCACTCAGGCCACCCTCCTCGATGTGCCACAATTTGACAATGCCATCGTCGCACGCAACCGCCAGACGCTGTGCATCAAACGGATCCCATTGGAAGTCCATAATGTTGCTGCCATTCACCAGCGACGGTATGACGCCATCGGGCAGACGCCCGGGCCGGCTCAGCTCAAAGATGGCAATCTTACCGCCGGGCCCGGATAGCGGCACAGCGACACGCTCATGATTGGCATGAAAGCCATTACATTCGCCCGGTATCTGCCGGCTCAGATTGCGCAAATTCTCAATGTGTGTCGACTTATGGCCGGGCGTGCCCTTCAAGTGACGAAACTTGGACACCTTGCCAAAGACGGTCGATGTCCGCTTGGTGGACGCCGCACTGAACGCCGCCTCTGTGGCCGATTTCTTGAGACCAGCACCATTGCCGCGCTGTCGATGCTCCTCCATTAGCTTGCCCTCGGGCACCGAAATGCGTTTGCTGTCAATGCCGCTGGCGGGCATAACATTGCTGTTGCCGCCCAACTGCTGGCTGGGCTTCAGCGGCTCCACCTTGGAGCTCTCGCGGCGACTAAATGAAACAAACAGTTTGATTTAGCTAAGTGAATTTCTTAAAAAGAATAATTCATAAATTTTAAAAGGTTCCCAAAAGGAACTCGTTGCTTTTGTTGTTGCAGCGAGTGTTTACTCGTTAGTTCTGGATGCAGACTCGTTCGCTTGTGCTGGCGAGTAGAATAAAGCTTGCTCTATAAGAAAACCAACCATATGTTCGCGGAGAAAGCTGCCAGAAACTAGGTTCGCACCTATTTGAACCCCTTCTAAAACGCGCGAGTAGTCAATTGACATACTTTGAATGCAGCGAGTGTTTACTCGTTACTTCTGGATGCAGATTCGTTCGCTTGTGCTGGCGAGTAGAATAAAGCTTGCTCCATAAGAAAACGAACCATAAGTTCACGGAGAAAGCTGCCAGAAACTAGGGTCGCACCTATTTGAACCCCTTTTAAAACGCGCGAGTAGTCATTAGGCATACTTTGAATGCCGCGGGTGTTTACTCGTTAGTTCTGGATGCAGACTCGTTCGCTTGTGCTGGCGAGTAGAATAAAGCTTGCTCTATAAGAAAACCAACCATATGTTCGCGGAGAAAGCTGCCAGAAACTAGGTTCGCACCTATTTGAACCCCATTTTAAAACGCGCGAGTAGTCAATTGACATACTTTGAATGCAGCGAGTGTTTACTCGTTATAACTTGAATTCTAGACGGGGTACTCACAGTGGCACCGGCGATTGAGCCTTGTCGTCCACCTGGCTTTTGGAGCGACTCTCGTAGACGCGACGTCGTTCGGCGATGCTGCTGCGCACCGCTGAAAAGCGTCGCAGATCGGCATCGGTGCGATCCTCGCCCTCGGTTGAGTTCTCCGATGATTCCGAATTTTGTTCGAATATCTAAATAAAATTGTGGGCAAAGAGAAGTTTGGTTGTAAGCAATCTGAATGTTAAGTTAAATTCGAGCACCCTTTTGCAGACCTTATCGGATGATTCATCATCGTCAGCCGAAGACTAGAGTTGTTGTTGTAGTTGAAGTTGTTGTTGCAGTTCGGGTTTAAGTAGACAAGTAGTGAAAACACAGAAGTACACAGCAGGAGCAGGAGCAGGAGCAGAAACAGGAGTAGTTGAGGTGTTAGTTAGCAGTTAACATGTTTTGGTTACAAAAACAAAAGTATACGAAAAACGAGAGAAGAAACGAATTTTGGCACAGGCATGTAAGAGAGGGTTGTAAGAGAGTTGAAGATTAGTCAAGTGTGACAATAAACATATGTGGCTAGCCCCTAGGCATATAGATATTATTGGATCTCGCTCAATTACCTTGCGGCGCTCCGATGTCGTCAATGACTTTTGTACGCCATTTCCATTGCCATTGCCGGCCACATTTGGTTCGCGTTCATGGCTTTCTGTGATAAAGAGAAACAATTCAAATCGTTAGCCATACTCGTCACTCGCTACTCGCCACTCGCTACTCGCTACTCGCTACTCGTTTACTTACTTTCAATTTCAATTTCCACAATGAGATCGGGCTTGGCACCTGGGGCTGGCACTTCGCTGCAGTTCTCCTGTCCAACATTCGATATATTTTCATGGGAGCCGGGCGCAACGGGCACAGCAAACACTTTGTCAAAGGAGACGTCGCCAGTGTTGCTAGAGAAGGGCTTTGGGCCGAGGCGGGGCTGCAATTAAGAGAAGATTTCGTGTTATGTTTGTTAAAAAATAAAAAGAATTCAATTATATATATATATACAAATAACAAAAAAATATCTATTCAATTTATTAAAATAAAGTACATAAATAAAATCATGGTAAAGGCAAGTGCAATACAAAATGGCGAAACGTTGGAATTCAATTGAAATCGCAACCGTTTCTTATGAAGAAACAATAAAAATGAAACAAGCTTCGCCAAAACATTTCGCTAGATATAAAAAACAAAAGTGCAATACATAACTATTATAATGGAACGAATTAAATTCAAAAATTTCAGTGATTTTGAATCAAATCAATTGGGAAATAATGGAATATGCAAGTTTCAGAAACAATGCAAAACGAAACAAAAACACGAAAAACAAGGAAAATCACACAAAAAAATTTGTTGAGAAACGATTCAAATTATATGCGAAATGAGAATATTGAAACCAACAGGAATATAAATCACATGTCCCTACGTTTTTTGTCTTTGCAATATTTCCGTTGGAATGGTAAAAAAAAAAGGATTCTAAACACAAAATTTCACTAAAAATCAAGAATAACAATAAACAAAAAATCGAAAGTTTCAGAAACGATGAAAATAAAAAGCAATTTACGGCCTATACCTCGTCTCGTTGGAATTGAAAATGTGGAATAAATAAATAGTGGTAAAAAGGTGAAACAATTTCACTAGCTAAAGAAATATACAAATTTCACTACAAGAAAAAAAAATCAAAAAAAAAACGGAAAGTTTTGCTCTACATAAGCTTCACTGTGGCACCTTGTAAGCGGCCGCTGCAGTCGTGCGTGGCCGGGGACGTGGCGTGTTGCACTCGCCAGCTGAATCGTTGCCGCTGCCGGAACCGCAACCGGATTGCGGATTGCTGGCTTCGGGCAGCGAATTGTTGCGCGAGGTGCGCGGCATTGGCTTTGGCGGCGAATGGCTGCCGCTGGCCGAATTGGTGTCCAGTGCCGCCGAGGAGGAGGCCTCCTCGCTGCTGCCGGTCGAGTGCTCGGTGGGCGATTCCTTTTCATCCGCCTGCTGATCCTTTTCCGAGTCCGTCTTATATTTCGCCTCAAATTTGCGTATTAGCTCGTTCTGGCTCAGGCTGGACTCGTCCGCCTGCGTCTTGGGTTGGGCCACACGCTTCTCACTGCCGTGGTTCTCATTGCCGTTCTTCTCCTCCCCGTTGTTGCACTTGCGCAGCATCATGAAGTGCTCGTTGTCGTTCCGCTTGGTCGAGGTTGTGGCGGGCTTTTGATTTTGACTCTTGCCCTTTGCCTTCTGGTTCTCCAGGTTCTTGATGAAATCGCTCAGATTGCCGCGATGTATCTAAATATGTTGTTGGCAGATAAAAGTTGAGTGCTAACTGCTAGTCCTTAGGCTTTTCGTAAGTTTTTCAAAAGAAAAACTCACCCAATTTAACCAATAATTAGATTAAAACAAGTTGCGAATTACATTTGTAACAAAACTAACGCAAACCGAACCTGAAGCTGGTTCCTTTAGCGAGTTTCAATGAATCTTAAATTCATGAACTTCGTCTAATCTCAAGAAACTTTAAGGAAAACCCTTTACCAGCTTATTAAGTTGCTTTACCTAATCTTCTACCTAGTTCTGTTAACATTTCATACTTGGAACTCAACTGATTGATGCTATACTATATCCATATATATGTATATATAAAAACTTACGACAATGGGCTCATCGCCAAGTTCGCGCTTCGCTGGATCTAAATTCATTTTGGGCACAGCCTGATTGGTGCCATTGAGCCACTCGCTGGCCACTAGCTCTGTCCTGTAGCCCGTTGTTTCGGGATAGAGGTCAGCATGGAAGTCGCGATAGGTCTATAGCGATAAACGGATTAAAATTTACAATCGGTTCACATTGGATTCTATTTGATGCGCTCACCTTGCGCGGCACTTGGTACATGATGGGTATGACCATGTTGGAGGTCAGCTGCAGCACACGATTGACCTCCGCCTCCATCACTTTGAGGGCGCGCTTTGGCACAAGGCATGCGCCCTTGGTTTGCTCGCCCGTATGCCGCAGTCCCTCGATTAGATAGGGATCCTTGTCTGTTATCTCCAGATAGTTAATGGTCGTATCGCCCTTGCCGGCCAGGAAAAGCATATTCGTATCGGCATCGAACAGCGGCATCAGTATGCCCGTCGAGCAGTCCAGCTCCAGCGTCTTCTCGGGCACATTGAAATTGCGCATATCGCGTATGATCACCTGACGCAAACGGGCCGCATCGAAGCCGGTGGTCAGGATGCGCGACTGATTGCCCAGCCAGACGACGCGCGAATCTTTAATGCTCTGATGCGATTCGGCCAGCATTTGTATGGGTGAGCCGGCGGCGCGTGGATCGAAAATGCGCACGCATTTATCCTTACAGCTGGTGGCCAGCACGGTGCCATCTTCGCGCCAGCTGGCCGATTGTATCACCTCCGGATGTTCATTGTTTGCTGCCGGTTGCATGGTTGGAATATTAATGTAAGTCGATCGAAGCATTGGGTTTCGCATTACTCACAGAAGATTTCCTTTTGGGCAGCAATATCGAAGAGCGCCACACAGCCAGCCGCTGTCGAATACATCAAACCATCGGCTGTGGGATGGAAACCGACCGTCTCCACGCGCCGTTGCTTGTGTGAGAAGACGGCCTCCGGATCGGAGAGCGATTGCTCGAGTCCCTTTTCGGGTATGTGCCAGATTTTGACCTGCAACAATATGATAATGTCAATAAAGTGCAGTTAAAGCGGCCCTAATCTCTCCTAACATCGTATATCTTTGAATTAAGTTTCAGCTCAGTTATTCCTTAAGAGAGATTCTCCTGGCCTATTACCAGGTGCCATCTTCGACACCAGAAGTTGTGTGTGAGCAGGTCTACACATTTCCGTCCGTCCGTCCGTCCGTCTGTCTGTCTACTTCTGTCTTTAAGTTCTAGAGCCTTATCTTTATGAATCTCCAAAATGAACCATTTGATTGATCGTTGTTTCTTTTTAAAGATATCTTGATCAACGGGTTTCATTGTGCTGACATTTGAGCAAACTCTTATCAGAATATTATTTAGCCGAAAAGTGAGTAAATAAAAATGGAAATAAATTGGAATCTAAAAATACTGAGAAACTGAGCGCTCGGGAGCTTTATTATGCCCCCCCAAGCAAAGGCTTATCAACATCGAATTTCTATATATCATAAGATAAGGATTGAATAAAGAATAGCTGAAGACGTGGTTGTCCGCTCAAGGGAGCTTTTACTGTATATATATATCTATATCGATTAAAGGACTTACGAGGCAATCCTGCGATGCTGTGGCCAGCAGTCCATCGTGAAACGGCGAGAACTTCAAGTCTGTCACCGTGTCCGTGTGACCGTGCAGCAGCGGCATTGTCTTGCTCTTGCGGCCGCAATCGTCCAGCGGCAGAACGGCGACACTGGAGCCGCTGTGCTCCCAGTTGAAGGCCATAAAGGCCGCCGATGCGGCAATATTGTTGCCATAGGTTTGGTAGCTGCCCACGCAGATTTCGCGCACGCAAGCCTCCGCTTTGGGCACAATGGGCGCGGCATTTTTATACTTCGAAGCCTTAAAGCGCCAGGCCATGCTGTGTGTGTGTCTCTGTGTGTGTGTGTGTGTGTGTCTGTGTGTGTGACGGTGCGTGTATTGTGTAGTCCGATGCAAGGCAATTGCAATTGCTCACCTCGAATCGCAGCTACCGTTGCTGATGTCTCACTTTTCCAATCTGAGAAGACGAGTTCCACACAATTCGCTTGTTTATTTTATTTTTAATATATTTTCCTTTTGTTGTAAATTTATTTATTTACTTGTTGGCTTGTGGTTCGCGCGGCTAGAATTGCAAATATGAAATTCTATTATTATTATGATTATTGCTAAGTTTAGTTATCGCTTGCCCCGCGTTGCTGCAGCCGCTAAATGATTCACCCAACCAGTGTTGGCAATTGTGTGTGTTTTTTTTTTTCTCTCCTATCGACAATTTAGCGGTTAGCGGGAGTTTTGTTTTAAACGGCTATTTTTTTGTGTTCTTATTACAAATGTATAAGCAAAATATAAAAATGACATCTTTTTTCGCGCTGTATTCATTTCTATGCATTTTTAATGTGACTAAATCTCTCTTCATACTATAATCATCAACTCGTTTGAATATAATGCGAATCGGAACTACAGGGTTTTTAAATCAGATATGTTAAATATAGAAGAAACAAAACAAAATAAAGTTGTAATACGTAGCTTTTTATATGACATACTGCAAACATTTGATTATAATTAGCGAGGTAAGCTTAGATTGAACAGGCAGCTCTTTCCGCCAAAGAGAATATACGATTGCTTAAAGCTACAATTTACAATACACTTTATCATAAATTTATATTCTTTAATTTCTCATGAACAAAATAGATCTTTGCAAAAAATGATCACATATGAAACTATCACAATTTGTGAGTATTCACTGTATTTCAATCAAGCTTGGCTTTGGCCAACAAATCTGGAGTCTGGAGTAATTAAAAACCAAAAACAAATATGTGCATATTTTAAGCTCTCATGCGAAATATAATAGAACTGAGCTGTTTTTTTTTCGCTCTTTTCCTCTAACTTTCTTTAACGAAAAGAAACTAGCTTTTTTTTTTTTGCTTGTCAACACTGAACGCAACGCACAAACGCACACGCACACGCACACGCACACATATCAATTGATAAGCAGTTCTGTGATATGATGTTGCTGATGACTGCCTGTCACGCCCACACTTGAGCCGCATTACTCACAACATGCCAGACAAAAGCAACAAAAGCAACAACAACAGCAACACAAACAACAGCCTCAGCAACAAGCCATACACAGAAAGTTTAAGTGCGGCAAGAATAAAAATGGAAATGGACAACAACTTGGACTTGGACTCGTCTGTCTGCCTGCTCATGTTGTTGTTGTTGTTTTTGCTGCTGCTGCACTTGGCTACAATTATTGAGGACTTGCACACTCGAAGTGTGCATTGATATGTGTGTGTGTGTGTGTGTGTGCGTCTTGTTTGTCGCATGAAAAGAGAAAGCACAAAACAAACATCAACAATTGCGTTTGCGTCCGCGATGCGAGGAGAATGCCAAATGCCGATTTACGATTGACGATTGGCACAGAGATGCCGGATAAGCTCACACACACGCACACACACGCACACAAACGCATGCATATGCCTGCACATACATGTGTATGTGTGCTTGTGTGTGTTCTGCTTTGTTGCGCCCTTCGCCTTGTCCTTTTTCCGGTTTAGCTTTTCAGGCATAAGAATTGTGCTAATCGTTCGTCATGTTTGCCACTTGTAAGCGCCTTTATAAACAAGTGCCACGCCTCGTAAATCACATACACAACTGTATATGTGTGCGTGTGCGTAGGTACAATGGGTCATTTCTGCTTGTATACTCGTATATATACATATACATATATGTATGTATTTGTTATATGCTTGTGTTTGCGAATTAGTTCCGCTTGAAGTCTAATCACATCTCTACATGGAATATAATAAATGCCTTTTTGGCAATAATCATCAACAAATGATTCATGCGCGAATTAAAAACGAAATTTGACCAAGAATTTATCAGTATTGCTAAAATATTGATAATTATTCTAAATATATGTATGTATATACACGCACGCATATATGAGTCAAATATTGTGGAACATTTTTATTTCTACGGATTCCAGCTTATCGAGCAACTACTGTATGTGTTTAGTTCTACCTCTTCTACGTTCTATATACAGTAATATATCATCCAATTTCTGTACTTTACAGGCATATAGATGCCTTTGTTTTCTAATAGATCTAAAGATATCTAGTAAAAGATCATTTTCTCCGTTAAATCAAATACAAATTGGAATGCTACGATTTCATAGGTAACTATATATATGTACATCTTTCAGATAAGACTTAGTTCTCAAAATCAAAAAACAGATGAAAATAACAAAATTATTCAAAGAACTAAGGTTTAATATGGGTTTGGTTTGGATTTTTTTTACCCACAAATTATTAGGCAAAAAAAAAAAAAAAAAGAACGTAAGATAAGGGCAACATATTTTAAAATGGATTTAAACTCTTTTTCTTTAAACATTTTTGGTATTTCTTTTCTTTTTTCAATTCTAAGTTGAAGCACTGGAAATTTGTGGTTCTTTTATTGTCTTTTCTTTTAAAAAATGCTTATTTATGGTTCACTCTTCAACAGAGAATTTGGCCATTTCCGAGAGTTTCTCACTAACACACACACACGCGAACACACACAAACACACATACACAGTGCAAGCGCTGGAAACACGAAGTCCCAATCTGACCAAATGCCTTCCGAACAGTTGGTCAAGCAATTTATCCTAAATTCAATTGTTACTTTAAATTTGCTCTTTTTCTTCTTCGGTAAATTTTGTTTTTTATTTGCCGCAGCCAGCGGTTAATTTCAAGTGCAGCCAGCGGCTAGTAATGTACAACAACAACAACACAACAACAAGCTGGCACTGAACTGGAGCTAAATGTATTGGCAAACACACCAACAACAACAACAGCAACGAGAAACGAAGAAGAAGAGACACAGTTGCGCTCACTTGACGACGCGTGCGCAAATTCAACTGGTTCGTTAGAAAGCGGCAAAACAAATGACCATCATTGGCTGTTGACGTTGCCAGCCTGGCTGACTGCCTGCTGCGGCTGGCGGTGGTGGTGGTGCAGCCACCAGGTAATCGGGTCAAGTGATTTAGAAAAATATAGAAAAAGAAAACTGCGCGCAACTGGGCGGAAGTTGGGTGGCAGCGACGGCGACGGCGACGGCAACAGAACTGTTCGGACATTGGCAAAAAGGGAATTGAAAATGAAGCAGACCAGCAAAATGAAGAGGAAGCAGAAACAAGTGCACAAGTGCTGAGCACTGCAACCTGCAGGAGAGCAGCCAGCGGGAGACAAACGGCAGAAGCAGCATCCGTGCTGCAGCTGCGAGAGGACGCAGGCAAAGAAGAGCTAACGAGTGAGCGAGCCAGAGCGAAAGTGCGCGTGTGTTTGCGTCTGGGGGTCTCTCTTTATGGCGCACAGGGTGCTACAAACATGTGTGTGTGTGTGTGTGATTGAGTGAGCGGGTGTAAGCAACTTTGTTGGGGGTGGGTGGCAACACCGGCACCGGTACGCCGGCAACGCTTTGCTCTACTGTTTTACTGTTTTTTTTTTTGTCTTTCTTCTTCCAACACTACCCAAAACAAGCAGTTAGAGTGAGAGAGCTGAATTAAGAGCAGGAGGGTAGAGCACAAGTGGCCTCCTGGTGGTGGTTCCGTTACGTGTTTGTTGTTGCATATGCATTTATTGACATTTTTTCTTCTAGCGTTTGTCATGCACTTAATGCTTGTTACTTTCTGGTTTTGTTGTTTTTTTTTTTGCATTTGGTATGTAGCCAAATGCGTGCAATTAATTAGGCGTTGTTTATGCACAGCACAAAAAAAAAAGAAAACACAAAACGGATGTGAATGTAAAAGGAGCTGCTGCTGGATTTCAACTGGCTTGTTTGTTGTGTTCAGCCGGCACACACCCTTTTTAACACTGGCGCCGCTGGCAGCGACACAACTACAACTACAACAACAACAAGAACGACGAAGCTGAGCCGAAGCTGCGTTCTGGGCAAACAAAGGAGCAGTTTGCACCCGATTCATACTCACGCACACTCACTCACTCTCATACACACACCCAAACACGCACACCGAAAATGCAAAAATTGAAATGTTGCACACACACACACAGGGTGGACAATAATTGAACAATGCAATTGAAATCGCAACAACGAAATAAATCACCGCACACAAAACACTTTGCACTCACAATTATTTAGGCACGCCCCTTTGACCAATTTCACCGCAACTGCACAATTTCTTTTAATTTTTGTATAAAAAATGTTGCATCGGCTTTTTTCGGTGCTGTATTGCCCGCTGTTTAACACAGACATCGATGAGTCGATGTTATTTTTGTCAGACACATCGTTGTATCGATTTCTTGTCGATTACCGATTCGCAAGTGATGAGCACAAGCTTCAGGTCGTGACACGAGGGGTAATCGGGCGCGAAAAAATTTTTGGATTGAAACACTCTATATAATGCTATGCAATATTTCCTTTTTTTTCTAAATGCACCGTTTTATTTGTTTCCACATATCCCACGTCCAAATTTGATATTTTTATTGAATTGCGTCCAACTTTATATAGACATACGCAAACAGTTTCATCGGACCTATCGATATTTAGAATAGCGATGTGCTACAACATTCTTAGCCACTGCGTAATGCTGTGTACATACTATAACATTTTTTATTTTAAATTTCAAATAACTATGCCATAATTTTATGTTAATTGATTAATAAATTTTATTTACAAATTTTAAAAAATTTGACTAAATAGTGTGACCGCAGTGTGACTGATGGTGTTGCCACTACAGTGAATGAAGATGGGCGATAAGTGTGTGCAGCTCTTCCAGCTACAGGGCAGCATCGCAATAATGCGCTTAAGTGCGCTTAGCACTGTGTATCGATAGTAACATAACGATAGTGCCATCGATTGCTTTGCTGCCCTAACTGCTGCAGCAAACTGTATTATTTTTTTTTTGTTATTTATTAAATGAAGCTGAATTAAGTTGATTGCATCGCAATGTCAAAGTTAATGTCCAACAAGAAGGCGTACCAGCGGAATTGCGCATTGTGATAACGTGAACGTAACGTAAAACGCGAGCGATTTTGCTGCTCTTTGCGGGTGTGCGTGTGCGTGTGTGCTTCTGCCAAGTGTATGTGTTGTGATTCTGCGTATGTGTATGTGTGCGTGTGCGTATAATTTTGGTGTGCGGCTGCAGAAGGCAACGACACGGCGCGCCGCTGGCCAGCAGCAGCAGCACCAGAAGAAACAACAACAGCAAAATACAAATCAAAATCAATGCTGTCAACAGCCAAGGAAAGCAAAATGAGCCTTTTGCACAAGATGGGTAAGTAATAAAACAATACAATATTTAAAACAATTTAAAATGTATGTGCTGGACAAAATGGGTAAATTGCCGCATTCGAATTTTGTTGTTGCCTTGCCCAACACCTGCAGCAGCAGCATATACAGCTTAGCTGTATATGTATATACACACACACGCAGCAGCAGCAGCAACATAATATGTACATGTGTGTATGCTGCAGAGGCGCTGCTTAATCCTACCCAAAAATGATTCACAATAAGCGCGTACAACAACAGTTAGACAAAAGCCAAAATCCTGTTTCTTAATTGCTACTTGACTTTGCCCACCCACACATACACACACACACATGCACACATACGCACGCACGTACACATTGATGTCTTCGTTGGCCCAAAATGTGCACTCGGTTTATGCCGTTGGTTTATCAACAAGTCTATTTTTAGTGTATGCGCCTCGGAAAGTGTTAAAAGTGAAGTAGCCCAACAAATGTCTGTGTGCGTAAGTGCGTCCCTCTGTTTGTGTGTGTGTGTGTGTGTGTGTGCGCGCGTCCGTCTCTGTATGTGTTTGCGTACACACTGTACCAATCCTCAAAGCACCGCCCCGCACCGCGCTTTGCTTACCAACTGCCGCTTGTTGGCTTCTGCTGCCAACGCCGCCCACCTCTAGCAACTCCTTGGGCTGCATTTTATTTTAAACATCTCTACCCCACTCTCTCTCGTTTTCTCTTTTTCGAATCTATCCCGCGCTCTGTCTCGCATACGCTTGCTGTGATGTGCCTTGTGGCGCTCATTGAATTCGTTAAAAAGGATACCAAAGACTTGATTCGAAGAATCGTCTGCATTTGCAAATGGACTGGATAATAATGTACTATATTAAATTTCTTGTTATTCCCGGTAAAGGCTGAATGGCTGGCGTATGCGTATACACATACATACATTGTATGCATTGAATGTGTATATGTGCATGTGTGTGTGTGTGTTTGTGTGTGTATGCATGTGCATGGATATATTACATGAACTGAAGCTTGCAGCAGTGATGAGCTTTTTGTAAAACGGTTGCTTGGTTGGGCGGGTAGGCAACCTAACGGTAATTTGCTGACAGCGCCAAGCAAGTTTTGACCTGGGTCAATTGTAAGAAGCTTCAGTTATTAATTCGCATTAGAGTTGGGCCCGTACCGTTATTTGCTATCGTGACACGAAAAAAACACGTAAATTTAAGCTCAAAAGCGTTGTTAAGCATAAAATAATTTCTTATCATTTCGGGTAAAAGTGGGAACTGGGAACACAACGTAGAAGACTATATGTGTGTACGTTAATGTAGCTCTATGTGTGTGTGTCTGTGCGTGTCTGCCAAAAGGATATGTCCGACACGTGCTCATCTCTAATGCAAAATATTCAATCAGCCGGCAACACTGGTCGGTGTGAGTGAAGGTCACTCTCGGCTGCCGCCCAACGTTGCCAGATTATTTATCAAATACGAGTCGCTTAAGCAAACAAATTTACATGCTTTAATGTCAAATTAATCGTACAACGAAACGCTTATCAGTTGAGAGATAAATGAGCGATACGGCCAACAGGCCGAATAGCACAAATGGCCAAAACCGTTCAAGGTCACAAGGGATATTATAGTTATTACTGTATTGTATTATTGGCAGCAAGCCCAGCTTTGGGCCTGCTTTACACACCCTATTGCAATAGGTAAAAAAATACGAACTTTACCGTTGATCGGGTAACACACTTTGTTGTTAATCGGTTAACAATGTTATCAATGGATGGGCAACATTCTATATAGCGCCGCCAACGCCCGGCACCGACCCCCCACCCCACCCCACCCCACCCTTTCACCAACTTTAGCTGCAGTGCATGTTCCCTGGGTAAGTTAACTGTAAGTGGGAGCTTTTGTTATTTTGGGCTTTGGGCTTTGGGCGAGCTTTCGGCTTAGACCGTTTTGCGCGCTTTTTTTGTTGCCTGTGCAAAGTCTGAGACGTCGGCAGCCGCCGCAGCGGCTTGCAAAAAGTAAGTAGTTTATTTTAGATTTGATAAGAAGCCAGCTTATTACTGTGTGATAATGAGGAGACAACAACAACAAGTGTCAATGCTGCAGCCGACTGCGCAATACTCTCTTCTAAGTGTGATACCTCAAAGTGCCTGAAAAAAAAAGACAGAAAAAATTAAAAGTGTTTTTGTGTATTGCATGTATATCATGATTCCAAAACTTTTTCTTCTTAGTTCTTAGTTTTAGTGGGCTCGATCCTAGAATGTGGCCCATTTGTAATCTACCTGTCGAATTTGTTTGGCTATGTGTGTGTGTGTGTGTATAGATATAGATATAGATATAGATATAGATATATATAACCGACACTATCTGAAGCAGTTGAACAGCAATATGTACAGTGAAAACTATCAAGCTCAATTATATGAGAAAAGCCCAAAAAGCTGGCATTCACTTTATTATAAAAATTCATTTATAAATGAACTTTTCTATTTGGTAAGGCCACAAAAAAATCACAAACTGTCTGCTGTATTGAAATTGCATTCAATTGCATTCATTGTATAAAACTTATTCTTTTGAAAGTTCAATCTTACTAAAACTTGGGACCATTCGAAAATATTGTACAGTTTTTAATAAAAATAAAATAATGAAAAGCCTGCTTTAAGGCTCCGTCGGAGAAACCGGTCTTGCACATCTCTGAACCAGCTTTTGGTTCAAACCCTGCTTTGTTATGTATTCTCAAAACTTGAATGATTAAATTATTAAATTATATTAAATTTTCAATTGACATTTGCCCGTTCTGCTGAAAATATTGCAAGCTGTAGATATTTTCGTAAGGAAGTCGCAGGCTAAATTTGAGTTCTACCCAAAATGAACATCTGCCAAATATGGTAAGATTATGCTTTTGGGCAGAGCCTCAAAATATCAAAGGTCAAATGCCATGTCCAATCGAATACTTTACGTAACCAATATACCCTTTATCGTTTAGCGAATAGAGTATAAAAACAACAGGCACAACGACAGCTACTGCAGCAGAGACAACAAAGCGTCGCATCAGTTGCACAGACAGACATACACAGACACACACACACTCACACATTGATACACACACACACACACACACACTGATACTCACACACACACGCACGCCATAGGGCAATAGAGAGCAGTTCATTGAAAGTGCAAATGTTTTTGTTGCTGCTCAGCGGGCCGTGGGGCCGCCCATTGGCCACGCCGCCCTGCGCCACGCGATTAGATTGTAAAAAGCGACGGCGTCGAGCGCTCGCCGCTCAGCACGCTCGCGCTGGGGCTCAGTTAGTAAACAGACAGACAGTCGGACAGTCAGTCGAGTCAATTCAGTTAGTCTCACGCGAAATATTCACAACAACGCTGGCAAAAACAGAAGAAATCTAAATAAAATAATAATAATAGTAAAAATAAATAAAAATAAAACGCAGGCGCGCGCGCGCGCGCTCTCAACTCCGCCCCGCGGTGATATCATCCAGCAGTACGCCACACAGCCAGCCAAGAGGGGGGGGGGCGGCGATCCTCAATGTCACATCAATTGTAATGCCAACTAAATTGATGTAGTGTGATTTGCATTTTTTTCTTCAGTGTTTTTGTTGCTTGTTGTTGTTGCTATGTAGCAAAAAGGCAAAGTGAATATTGAATATACAAAATCGATTGAAAATCGTTGATGCGTTCGCTCCAATTCGCATGCATAGTGTTGCAAAGTGCGCCGAAAGCAAAAGAGTAAGAAAGGAAGAAAAAAAAAAAACGAATTTGGGCGCAAGCGCGATGCGCGTTCTAAGCACAGAGCTGCGCTTGCGCTTTCAAAAGCGCAAGCCGCGTCCCTTCAATCGAGCGGCCAGCGCAGACGATGCGTCGACAGCGGCAGCGGCAGCGGCTGAAGCAGCAGACGAGCGACGAACTAACGGAACTGCTAGCATGCGTACGTATTAAAAGGATTGCGAGTGCGTATGTGTGTGTGCGTGCATGCGTGTGGGTGGCGGCAATCGATAAGTTTTACTCGCTGTCAGATGCCAGCGTCGACAGCGGCAGAAGCAGCAGACTAGCGACGAACTAACGGAACTTTTAGCATGCGTACGTATTTAGGAGTGTGAGTCTTTTTCGGCAATCGAAAAGTTGTAATCGCCGTCATTTGAATGACTCTGACCTTGACGGCTGTAGATCGACAAGTATGTAATTTTTGCCTATTTCCAGAGGCAAGTGCTCTTAATTGTTTAATTATTAATTTAAAGCGTTACATTTATGCATGTACATGGCTATCGAATAGCGGGGGCGGGCTTGGGGCGGTCTGACGCTCGCTCAATTGATCAATTTGCTTTGCACTCACAGCTGAGTGAACAGCGCGACAAAGTTGTGATAGTGCTCAATCGGCTGGAAGTGGCACCGGATGCTGGCTCAATAAAAAAAATATATACATATATACAAATTGGCAAATTGTGTGGTTGTGTGTGTGTGTGTATATATCCGTTAGGGCGGCAATTAATGTCGGCATGAATCGTATTTGTTTATCGTTATCGATAATAAGCAGCAAAGAAAGTTTAATCTAATCTTATCGAATCGATTGATCAACATTTTTGGCATTTCACCGGCATTTCATGCATTCATGAATATATTGATTCAATATTGGTCAAGTTGTGGAATGCATGAAAAGGGTTTTGTTTAATTGTTGCTGATTGAAACGTTTTTATTTCACTGCTTTCACTGCACTTTCTAATGGAGGCTGTCAAGCGTAGGGTACAGAGAGAGAGAGAGAGAGGGAAAGAGTGAGAGAGAAAACCCTGTTGAAAAGAAAACCCATCAATATTTTGTAAAACTATTATTCTACAATACGAGTTGAACATTTGGACGTGCTCTAACATTCACAACATTCAAAACATTCCTTTCATTTTGGCAAATATTGATGATGGCAAAGTGCAAAAGCTGTTGACAGTTTTACTCTTTTTCAAGGCCAACAATGACAAACCATTTAAAGCAGCAACAATGCCAGTGACATGTGAAAA